TTGTTACTGATGGGATTGCAAGTGTTGAAACAAAATCAAACACATGGCATTGTGGGAAATCAATAAAGGCGTATTGAAATGAGCTCAAATTGTTGTTGCATAGACAGTTTAAAGATTAGTCAAGCCAATTAATATGTGTATGAAGGTTCACAGCTATTACATGGGATTACTTCAAAAGTGTAATCAACACAACTTTGACATCCCTGTGCTAATTTGCTGCCAGTCTGCTTTATTGGGGGGTGTAAAGGAATGTCTTTATAATGTTTGACACACCTATTGCCATGCTAAAAAATTCTCTAAATTATACCTTGCAAATCAAGAGTTTCTGTTTGCCCATATAAATGGATTCTCTTCCCACACCCCACTTCTGTCAATAACTTAAGAACATGTTGCGTAATCCGTGTAGTTAATGTCCACCCACTAACTCACCTCTACCCGCCTAACTGGTGTGGAATGGAATGCTAAAGCTAGAGCACAAACCAGCTGATTCCATCAAACACCTTACAAAGACATAGTCCTGTTTGTCTCCGTCTGCTTATTTGGCATATCTATTAGCTTTTTGGATTTCAGGATTATCTGACTATCAAATAGTCACAACCCCAGCCATCAGTGCCAGTTCTCATTTGTGAGCCCCGCTGTAGCATCAGTCACCAACAATGCCTTGGACTGTTCAGAACTGCTGAACCCCTGTGTCAGATTAACAAGTCTCCCAAAATGATGACTCAGTTCTGATTTTTCACCGGCAAGCATGGAACCTTGAAAACAACTCTCACTAAAAATAACAACTTGCTGATCTCTACCATGCAAAGGATTGGTCATTAGACAACTAGCAAACACTAAAAGGCCTGTTGTTACAAAGGCCTGCACACAAATAGCAGAAATAAACTTAAAAAAATGGGAGTCAACTAACATTGCTTTCATGACCACTGCTGTGGACTCAAACCATTCCTCACTAATACTGTTTAGAATGTTTAGACAGACAGCTTCTATGCTGCCTGCTCCTTTGTAATCCAGCATAGTTCATTCTGAACACTGTTTATTGGAGCATATGGTCCAATGATAGCATCCCAGGGAGTCTTATCCAGCCACAGTTACATTAACACATGTGTAGTTAGCTGATTTTATTGAGACATTAATAAGGAGTGCCACAGTTCCCAAAAGAGGTCACCCCACAGTTGGAGATAAATAGGCAGTTGCGGTCCTATTGCTAGCAAAACTATCCTTTCATAAATGGTAACTGACTGGCACAATTCACTCTTAACAAAGGAAGGCATGGACAAACTTTGATCTACGGCCACGTTTCCTGTAGCATGTTTAGGAGTGGATACTATGCAAGGATCAAGCTGATTGAACTGTTGGACATTAACTAAGCTTATAGAATGGTATTGGTTCTACAACTTGAACTTCCTCAGGAAAACATCAGAAAACAATTTAGCATGAACATAGATTTGGTACCAGCACAAATTACAAGCAAAACTGTGTTCAGGGTAGTTTTCTGCAGAGATATAGCCTCCCAATAAGGGGGCAATACATTATTAGATTTAGCAATGAGTAATGAGTCAAATTTAATTAAAAACCCATCAACTCACTTCCTTCACTTTCGCATTTTGGCGGTGCTCCCTACACTTTGAGAGCTCCCATGTACTCTTGGTTCTCAGGAAGATGAGCTTTAATTGCTTGGGACATAGAATAACTTGACCAATGTTAAAGAAACCAAGCATACCATTGGTGTCCATGATCTTTTGGATCTCCGACACTACTTCTTCCCTCCCACCCATTTGTTATTTATGTTTTGAATGTTATGCTATATCAGGGCCTTCAGGTGTTGATAGGAATACTGCTATTTTCAAGTTGTGATGAAGTTTCCAGTCCATGAAAGCTTTGTGCTCATGCTCAATTCAAACCTGTATCTCTTGGTCATTTTTGTCAAAACAAAATACAGAGTGACTAAGAACGTTTTTGCGGATGCTTTTTAAGGTAGATTTTGGGATCATCAGGAAGTATGGGAGCACTGTAACTCCTTGTGGATGGAGTGTAAGAGTTTGAGAGTTAAGCACTGACCAAGAGAGTTGCTTTGGTGAAACTTTTGAAGCCTTCACGTTAATTCTGTATCAGTATTGCTTCTGCTATCCTCATTCTTCAGGAGGTCAGTCGAAATGGAAAGGGTAGATTGGATGAAGCCATGATACTTTCAGTAATTTTCAGTATCTGTCATGTGGACATATCTGGTGCCTTGTTCAAACAATGATGTGTTTGATCAAGGACAGTGTTTGGACCATGATGTTACCATAAGGGCTGTGCTTCGCTCACTGGTATAATAGGATTGGTTATGACAAGGTCATGTTTGGGACATTGTGTTTCAAAAGGAGGCTTCCACTGAAATTTGTTTTCCCTGAACAGAGCTTGTAAATCATATCTTTCTGCAGATATGTATCCTTCATAACTTTAGCACTAAATTCTTCAACAGTCATCAGCTTGTCACCTATTAGGATATAAGCTAGAGATTGCCCAAATTTGGCGTAGAATCTCTCCTTGGTCTCATTTATTGCTTTCGGTGTAGAAGCAGATGCATTGATGATACTGGTGTGCTGACTGTTTCTTACGCTAAGCTAAACACTCATGGCGCCGGTTTATCCCACAGTGGGGAGTCACTGAAGTACCAGTCGGGTTCATTTTCAAAGTTCATCCTATGGAGGCATTTTTGTTCCCCTTTACGGCCCTTCCACAAAATGGTTTACCTCCCACCTTGCTCATTCCATTGGCCTTATCCTCAAATCATGTCTCTCTTAATCTGAAACTACTGATGTTGAGGCACCCATGTATGAGTTGCAACATTCAGATCCATCATTGTTGGGTTTCTCCACGAGCTGCTAACATTGCAGGCCCAAAACTTCATGTTTATGAGTGGAAGATGGCTCTATGTTATTAAACTGAGGGTGGCTGTTGCACACTGACAGCATTGGGCTGTGATTTAATTGAAAGGGAGTTCCAATATAGAGGCCAGACTCAATTATCAAACATGATACCAGTGCATAACCCTCCCCAGTTCTAGAAGGGCCCACCATGGCCTAGTTTCTCACACACATACCTACAACATGTCCACAGCATGCCACATTACAGAATTCGAGTACCCAACTCTCCCTCATGACACACCAACATTTATAAAATAGCAACCATATTAAATGTGATTTTCAAAAGAAAGAAACTTTAACAGCTACAAAGATTGTCTATTTAGGCAACTGCAATGACAACAGGATGTGATAGAGATTTGCCACAATAATCATGGACATGGGTGGACTAAATGTCCTCTCTGTTGTGAATGCTCTATGTTAGTCTACAGAAGGGCAGAGCTTAGCAATTGAACTTCAAACCCTGTAATTGCACATAAAAGCGGAAACCCTGAGATTCTTGTCCTCGATTAATTAGAACATCTTAAAAACTGTTTATAGCACACAGTGTGTATTATTTCAGATCAATTAATTCTATGCTTGCGTGGCCATTTCAGAGTCAGAGTCAGAGCCAATCATATTGCTGTGGATCTGGAATGACATGTAGGCCAGGCCAGGTCGGGATGGCAGTTTTTCTTGCCTAAAGGGTTTTTCATGACAATCAATCTTTGTTTCCTGGTCACCACTGTGGAGGCTGGCTTTCAATTCCAGGATACAGTACTCTTCTTTACTATAAATGCCAAATTCCTTTCTACAACTCCATCCCTCACCAGAATGGCAATCAGCATTCACTTTCTCAAATGAAGGGAAGCCCAACAAGCCCCTATCCACCCGCCCTACTCCAAATGTTGGAGTTTGTTCTGAGGTTGAACAACTCCTTGAACTCACATCATTTATTCTACTTGAATACTGTTGCTATCAGAACTCACACAGGTCCTAGATACAGCTGCCTTTTCTTAGAATATGGTGTAGTTTTTTTTTTCCATCCCAAGAACTTCCACATTCAACTATTTCTACTATTTAACATTCTGCGTTGACTGCTCATCATGCAGGGCTTTTTTTTCCCTCTACCACAGGGAAGGGCAAGGGAGACTGAATGATTATTTAGCACATATTCAGGACAAAGTTCTGGGGAAGGTATGGGTTCAAATCCCACATGGATAGATGGTGAATTTTGAATTAAATAATAAAGAGAAGCTGGAATTAAAAACTAACCTATGGTGAACATGTAGCCACTGTAAATTGTTGTTAAAAACCTATCTGATTTACTAATGTTCTTTAGGGAGGGAAATCTGCCATCGTCAATAGTTTGATCTAAACGTGACCCACAGTATTGTGGTTGACCCTTCTGAAATGGTCTAGAAGGCCAGCCAGCCAATCAGTTCTAGAGTAACAAACACTAGCCTTCCCAGTGACACCCACATATTGTACAAGAAAAAGAATAAACAGTAAGCAAGTATAATCAAGCTTCTAGATATTTTGTAATTTTAATTCTGTAGCCCAATCCCATGCTGACCTTTCTCCTTTTGCCTCCTACACTGTTCCACTGAAGTTCCTTGTGAGTTTACCAAACATTAGCACATCTTTCAGTTAGACTCCAGAAGGCTGACTAACTGCAGTTCGTATAAACTGTCCATTTATTTGGACAGAAGCTCTCAGCAATAATTATGCTATTCCTGTTTACTGCTCGTCTACATTTGTTTTTTTTGTTCTATTTATCCCTTCTCCTTTTGTCTCGTATACTCAATTTTTATCACTTAATCTCTTCTGTTTTCAATCCTATCAAAATTTCCCATTTGATTTTTCATCTCATTTTGTACCTGCTTAAGGCCCATTACATCTCTAACTTCATCAGTTCTAGCAAAAGGTGCTTGGCTTGAATGGTTAAATCTGTTCCACTCTCCATAGATACACTCATGTTCAACAATGTAAAATTTATCAGATGATTTGGCCTATAATCTTTCAGTTACATTTGCTGTGGTGTCCACTCACCAAAAAAGTCAATTCTTTGAAGAGTAGTACAAAATTATGAAGTGGAGCTTGTTACTTTACCTGTTGTCTGTCAAGCATAGCATGCCTGCACACACATCAGGGAGCTGTGGCACTGGTCTGTTTCGAAGACCAGATGCTGTCACAGGACAGGAAGTAACCTGCTCCAAGTTGCCCATATGTTCGACATACAAATCATTCTGCACCATTTCTCCTTGGAATTCAAAGAGGGGCGAGTCTGGAGGAGTGCTGGTTAAATGTTGTGTTTCCACAGAGGTGGAGTGTTCCTTTGTTGAGTAAAAATTTGAGGAATCAACCAAAGCAGAAGGCAGTGGCATTCTATCAGTGGTGAACTTGAGTGGTGGTGTGCCCTGATGAAGCCGTGGTGGCACTGGTGGTCTGGTGTCCATGTCACCTTGTGGGTCACAAAAATTGAAACAGGCTTCTTCTGGCTCAAAGGTATCTACTTTCAGATTTTTACCAACTGGACATTTCTGCATTTGGGGAGATGGGGTTTTGTTTTTTGACTGAATACATCCATCAGTGTTTACTGGGTCTATACAGTCTGAAGTTAAGTTGCCCTTAACAAACTTAGGTCTCAGCTTTGATACAGGTACACTTCTGCCACCTTCAGTTTTGGGTGGGCTATGTAAAATTAACATCCGATTCTCACTCTCTAAGTCCGTGCCTCCAGTCTCAGGACTTTTAGATACTGTCGTCATATCTGCTTCTGGGATTGTAGAGTTCAAGTGTTTAAGTATTCTTTTACGATGTCCTGTTGGACCAATCCCAATCCGAAGAAGAACCTCATTGTTCATGTGTTTACAGTCTTCGACAGTGAAATATCCAGACTTTTTGAAGTGGTCAGCATACTGCTCCAGATGAATACTGAGCAACCAATCTGCAATATCGCCAGTACCCTGATCGGATGACAGCATTGTAGCGATTTCACTCTCATTCCAGCTTTCACAGTTTACAGCTCACATCCTCATTTTCTTTGTCCCCACACTAGCTTGATGCAGCCACTGGATTTCCTAACTGACTTGCAGATCATCTGATGTGGAACTTACATTGTAGTCAAAAGTGATAATCCTTCCTCTTCATGATGTCACATCAAACAGCACCCTTTTCTAATGCAAAGCTGAAAGATTAGAAATGCAAGTTAGTCAATTTATCACAAAAATTGAAACACCATCATATACCATTGAGTTTGCTCCCCATTTGTTAGTCATGAGAGCTCTTTTGTTTACTTATTTCCAAAGTGCCACCCTGTTCTTCATATTGCTTAAGCCGAAATATCAATATTTTTAACTCTTCATTTGAATTAACATGTAATCGACTTATGGGACAATGCATCCACATTCTCATCACTCTCCTGTGTAAATTAGAACTAAAAATCAGAATTTGTTACTAACTGTGAAATGTCAAACTTTAAGATTGTATTATCTTCTTTTGCATTATTCCACTAATGAGAAAACCATTCGAAATCCATCCTTCGAAAGACTGACTTTAAATAAAGGTAACATGATTTCTGTGTTTTGAGAAGCACAGCTGGAGCAAATGTATGTGGTTTAAAATTACCTCATAATCCTGGCAAATAAAATTCCACGTATGGCCTGTTAAAACTTGTCCTCCAATCTGTTTAGATCCCAAGGAAATGGAATTCTTTTTTAGTAGAATGCTACACTTAAATGGTTTTACAAATTCTTTTGTTCACTCAAACTGGAAAATTCCACATGACCCCACATTATCCAAGACTCGTAACATGCCAGAATTTCGGCTGGAAGACACTCATTGCTAAATGAGCTGACCAGGGACAGAGGAAGCGCAGCAACATTAGCACCAACATAATGCCGAACACCCATGGATGTGCCTTACTTATAGAACCACTCTCTTTACTCAATGCCCAGCAACTATTGTTTACTTGTGTAGCTCTACATCATTTTCATGAACAGGCTGTTTGTTTTTTTCAATTTTTAAAAACATTAATATTTTCTGGTGAAAACAATCTTTCAAGTCTCCAGTGATGCTTAGTGCTTTAACATAGAACTCATAGTAACATGTTCCTCGATGTGATGATATTTCAGGTCCTAAAGGAACCCACATGTAAAAGAAGGCAATAACAAGGATATATATTGGCATTTTGTGAGCTTTTGTGGCACAGCAGTAGTGTCCCTATGTCTGGGCCAGGAGGCCTTGGTTCATATCCCATCTGTTCCTGACATAATAACATCTGATCAGGTTGATTAGAAAATACCCATAATTGGTATTTTTCAGTTGTATACATAAGTAGGCACCTATTTTGTAAGTAATTATATATTAAAAGTTACATTTGATGGCAACTAACCAACTGAAAAATTTATGTATTTATTCATTTAGTCTTGATTTCATGGTGCTTCACATATTTAGGTAGGATATGAACACATTAATAAATGAATGCTGAAAACAAATTTCAAATGGCCATTTATGAGAAACAGACAACTGTATAAAGGAATCATTTTAACAGTGCTCTTCACAATCACCTTTCCCAAATAACTAAGGATCTGGAGTCTGAATTAAAACAATACTGGAATCAAGAATATTCCTCTTACTTTAAGATTCTTTCTGCATAGTAATTGTTAGCTCATTAAAAAAGAAAATAAATCTATCGGATATGCAACAACAAACTTACCTGTAGATATGGTTAGCCATAAAGTTGTGCCTGGAAGATACTTTATTCTTTAAAAGAATGTTCAGTGTCACCTTAAGCTGGGGTCTCGAAGTGATCAACTTAAACCAAAATGGTACCACGTAATTCAGTCAGAGATAGTAGGAACTGCTTTTTCTGAAGAAGGGTCTAGGCCTGAAACGTCAGCTTTCCTGCTCCTCTGATGCTGCTTGGCCTGCTGTGTTCGTCCAGCTCTGCACCTTGTTATCCCACGTAATTGAGTTTTCTCTTTCAACGTGTATTTCATAACCCATTACACAATTGGTTTATCTAAATATCATTGCATTTCAAAGGCCAACAGAACTCACTCTTCTCTTGAAAGAAAAGAAACCTCATTCTTCTCATTTCTCTTTCCCTCCACCTATGATATCAAGGTATTTTTGGCTGTCTCTTTTAGTATAATTTATTTCACTGTGTGTTTGGAGAAGGGAGGTTGGATATAAAGGAGTTGGAGTGTTAGCTTGTACAGTTTTATGTTTGAAGTTTGGTGTTGTTTACTTGCAGTTTGAATCGATTTATGTGTAATAAGCAGTCATAGTCACACAGCACAGAAACGGACCCTGCAGTCCAACTCATCCTTGCTGACCAGACATCCCAACCTGACCCAGTCCTATTCGCCAGCATTTGGCCCATATCCCTCTAAACCCTTCCTATTCATATACACATCCAGATGCCTCTTAAATGTTGTAATTGTACCAGCCTCAACCACTTCCTCCGGCAGCTGTTCCAGACACATATCACCATGAATAAGTTGCACCTTGGGTCCTTTTTAACTCTTTCCCCTTTCACCTTAAACCTCTAGTCTTGGACTCCCCGCCTCTTCAGAAAAATACTTTAGCTATTCACTGCGTCCATGCCTCTCATAATTTTATAAACTTCTATAAAGTCATCCCTCAGCCTATTCAGCCGCTTCCTATAACTCAAACCCTCCAATCCCATAACATCCTTGTAGATCTTTCTTGCTACTCTCAAGTTTAACAACATCCTTCCTCTGAAAAGGCGACCAGAATTGTACACAGTATTCTAAAAGTAGCCTCACCAATGTCCTGTACAGCCACAACATGATGTCCCATCACCTATACTCAGTGTTCTGACCAATGAAGGCAAGCATACCAAATGCCTTCTTCACCATCCTGACTACGTGTCCTTTATTCTTTATTCATTCATGGGATGAGGGCATCGCTGGCTAGGCAGCACTTGTTGCCCATCCCTAATTGCCCAATGGGCAGTTAAGAGTGGGCCAGGAGTCACATGTAGGCCAGACCAGGTAAGGCTGGCAGTTTCCTTCCCTAAAGAACATTAGTGAACCAGATGGGTTTTTCCTGACAACCAGCAATGGATTCACAGACATCATTAGATTCTTAATTCCAGGCATTTATTGAATTCAAATTCCACAATCTGCCATGGCGGGAGTCGAACCCGGATCCCCAGAACATTATCTGGGTTTTTGGGGTTAACCGTCCAGTGATAATACCACTAGGCCATCGTCTCCCCAGTGTGACTCTACTTTCAATGAACTATGCAATTGCAGCTCTAGGTTCCCATGGCCTTACCATTAATTGTATAAGTCCTACCCTGACTTGCCTTACTAAAACGCAACAACTCACATTTAACCATTTGGCCCATTTGATCAAGGTCCCATTGTACTCTGAGATAATCTTCTTCACTGTCCACGACATCACTGAGTTTGCTGTCACTAACAAGTCATTTGTATCGTGTACAGAAACCTGGTCAATGTTTTCTGTCAACCTGGATGCAAAAAGTCAGATAAATTGGGGAATTTTGTATACATTGATAGAATCTTTAACCTACATGAAGACTATGGGAAAAGCAGGCTTTGATTTCCAGTGTGCTAACCAGTGAGGTGTGACATCTGCCAAAATCACTCTGCTTTTCAGGATGACTCTGGAGTAGAGATAAGTTCAATCTTATACTCCATAACTAACTGTCATTTTAAACACTGTTCTTGACCTTTCATCATTTCCCAGTAAATGAAAAAAGCTCACGTGACTTCTTTGTGGTTAAAATTGAGACTATCTTGTCAAATGCTTCTGTCACATTCCTCCTTCCTTTTTGTTTGATGACTAAAACCACTACAAAAGCTCTTTCTAAACCAAACCCTAAACTGGCACCTTACTCAAGTTTCTCTTCCCAACAGCAAGAACTCCCTCCCACTCTCTGCCATTTACCCTATCAGAGCTCTCTGTCATACATCTCCTAGAGTTTCAAAATTAGTTATCACAAAGTAACTAACCACCCAACTTTCCTTCCTGACCCATATGTGAAATGACCTTGAAGACGTTTCCCTTCCTCAGACAATACTCCAGTCCCTTGGAAAACCTCTGTCCTCAGCCTCTTTACAAAAACAAACTTTCATTCCTCAGTCCCTGCAGGCTACCAATTGTTCTCTAAATTCCCTTTTCCTGGTGGAAGTTCATGCAATTGTTATCACTGCCTGAATCCATGTACATCTTTGCTGTAACTCCATATGACAACCACTTCAGTCAGGTCTCTTTCCAAACCATGGTATTGAAACAGCTTGAATAGAAAATTCAAGTGACTAACCTTTCTTTAAACTTTCACTTGGCCATTCAAATAATCTTCTCCCAAAATCTCATACCAACTAACATGGAGCAAGGAAAATTTGGGATTAAGTGCTGGGCTAATGGTGACCACTGAAGATTATTGTAAAAACTCATCTGGTTCACTAATGTCCTCTAGGGAAGGAATTCTGGCATTCTTACCTGGTTTGGCCTACATGTGACTACAGAGTCACATCAATGTGGTTGACTCTTAACTACCCTATGAAATGGCCCTAGCAAGCCACTCAGTTAAAGTAGCAATTAGTGATTATCTAATGCTGGCCCAGTCAGGGACACCCACATTGGCCATGAACAAACTTGTCTTTATTTCTATGGACCACAAATTTAAAACCCTTATTATGAGGTCAAAAGCTTTCCTTTCCCCACTCTATATCTCCTGTCAATTCTTCTCTTTCTGATCCTACACTTTAATCTTAAATTGCCCCAAGGATCCCTGCTTAGCTCCTTCCATTTTATCATTTAAATGCCTCAACTTGATCTACGTACAGACAGATAACACCAAGTTCTAGCTATCCACTGATTCTCTCAACCCCTGCTTTGCTCTGTGTTATCAGACCACTCATCTAACACCCAGTCCTGAATGAACCACAATTTCTCCCACGTATAAGGACTAAAGGCTCATCTTAACACCCACTTCAAAAACTTGATATCATTTCCACAGAATGCATGTCTCCTCTTGCAATGAAACTCTAAGTACCCTGTTCAGTATTTTGCAATCCTGATACTCTAGTATCCTATTTGACTCAATATTGAGCTTCTGACCCCATATCCTCTCTATCACAAAAACTGCCCACATCCTCCTTTGTAACACCACCTATCTCTGCCTTACAT